TCTCGGTTTCAGAACAGACAGGCAATACATANTAGGGATTCAAAAACTCTACACATCTCTAGATAGGGGCTGCATACACATATATAACATAACACAATTCTGAAGATAATTAGCTGTCCTCGACACTTTCATCCCTTATTGCATGTTGGGCGATATTCATGGCCATTATTATTGTTACATTATGCCATAGGTTCATCCTTAGGGCAAAGGCTCTACTCGGTTTGGTTGGAGCTGCTTGTCGGGCATCCACGATCCACGAGTTCTGGCGAGAGTTGAAGGTAGGTGTGCACATGAGAATCGAGATGGCGCAGCGGAAGCGTGCGGGGCTCATAACCCCGAGGTCCCAGGATCGAAACCTGGTCTCGATACGCGTTGAGCACCATGTCCCGATCTTAGCTCAGCTGGAAGAGCGAAGGACTGTAATCGAAAGATGCGATGCTGATATCCTTAGGTCGCCTGTTCGATCCAGGCAGATCGGATCCCGGCTTGGTTGATGTGTACTCCGACCTACACTTGTTCTTCTCGTGTTTTTAGGGTGTTAGGGTGTTTAGGGTGTTTAGCTATAGGGTGTTAGGATGGATGGGTAGGTGCAGTCATGCTAGCTGGATCCAGGGTCCCCACCTGAGGCTTTTGCTAATCGTGTTGGCCTAGCTATAGGAAAAAGCTGGCAAACTCTCCGGTGCCATAAAAACAAGAGATAGAGCAGGCAAAAGGGTGTTATAGAGTTTGGGTTTTCGCATACTGATAAAGCATGGATGGACTGATAATTATAATGCAAGTAGCTGTGGGCTAATTCGGCATTCTGGAATCAGGCATCCCATCATATCCCATCCCATCCAGCAGGAATACAAGTCAGAAATTCAGCACCATGACGAGGACATATTATGAGAAGGGGGTCAGGAATGAATGAATGTTTAAGCCTGCATAATAGTTACATTAGGTGCAGGGCACTGGTCTACTGATGTCCCTNTCACACACATACGGGACATTCTCGCCCAATGTGGGGCTCGAACTCACGACCACAAGGTTAAGAGCTTTGCGCTCTACCGACTGAGCTAACCGGGCAGAAAATGTCGAGATGTAAGTTAACATTAACACTCACAACGCCATTGGGATTGGTGCTGCACACAACTTCCACCACTCTGTTTGCCCACCTACCCATACCCATGAGTACTGTTATTTATGTTAGTATGTTATGTTATATATATATACATCTATCTATATATATGTTATGTTAACCTTGTATGTACTACATTATATGTACGAGGTTGGCACGTATAGGTAGTCGACAGGGATTCACTATTTTAGGGAAGAAAGAATGTACAAGGATTTCCATGCCTTAGTGGTCCTTCATGCCTAGGCACGCATTCAGTGCCATCAAGTGTTGCTTGCATATGCTGGTAAGCGGGCGAGGGTCCTGAGACTGTGCAAACCGGCTGTGGCACTCTTATGTACTACATGCAATTAGGGTTTTAGGGTTTTGTGGGGACACCGACTTCACACGGACTTCACACTCCTTCACACTGCTGTGACTCCCTCCTCACAGGCATGCTCCCCATGGCCAGTAGACCACCAGCTTCGGGCCTCCCACCCACAGCAGCTGCATCTGGTTATAGTGAGTGATCTGTGGAGCCGGTAAGGAGTAGACTTGATGCTTGTGGTTGATCTGGCAGATTCTATTGGATTCTGATGGTGGCCGC